AGAGGCCAGAAGAGGGCGTTGGGTCCCCTGGAGCTAGAGTTACAGATGGTTGTGAGCTATGATGCTTGGAGCATAACTCTGCAAGAGCAGTAAGGACTGGAGAGATGGCTCAGCAGTTAAGAGCATTGGATGTTCTTGCAGAAAACTGGAGTTTGGTTCCCAGCACCCACATGGTTGCTCACAGCTGGTAGTAACTCCAGTTCCAGCCTTCATTCTGACCTCTGTGGGCATTGCACAGCATGGGTGTGCTTACATACATGCAAGCAAAATACTCAGACATAAAATAACATAAAATAAAAACAAATAAGTTTGAAAAAAGGCAGCAAGTGCTCTTAACTGTTGAGCCATCTTTCCAGCCCTCAAGAAAAATTTTAAAGGATGAATTCCTTTAAATGAATTTTTTTAAAGTCAAGTTTGAATTGATACTTAAATTTTGTGTAGTTTTTAGTCTGTGAATGAAAATAGTAAATATTTTTGCTTTCCACATCTTCAAATAGGGCATTTAGGTGAGAAAAACCTACCACTTGTGAACTGCATACTGATATAAAAAGTTTGTAGATTTTATGCATTTCCTAAAACTGCATTTATTCAGGATCATGTACATTTAACTTTTATAGCTTTTAATTTACCATGGAAAAATGTAATTTGCAATAAAAGTAATATGTTACATCAGCAGAAACAAATTGAACCGTTCATTCCTCATTAGTTGTGAGTCTTCTCCAATTTGTAGCACCCTCTCCATTTTCTTTTGGTGGCCTGGAGTCTGGAACTGCATGTCCTCATGTACCTTGATGAATATCACTGTAGGGCAGTTTGGAGATACTTGAATAGGTTTCTTTAAAAGTATGTAGTTGTAGTAGGATTGAACTGTAGCTGGATACTTTTTGGGCAAGAGGCTACTCTGGGTCTTTTGATATGTCTTGTTATTTTATCAAATTGTTGAAAACATAGGACACTGGACAAATCTTTTTATTTTTATTTTTTATTTTTTAAATGTCCGCCCGGAGCCTGGAGCCTACCCTGGGACCCCTGGGTACAACACTTGACATATCTTTAAAGAAGAAGTGAAGTCTTAAAGATACATGCCATCTCAGAATTCTGAATTGTCCATGATATACTTATAAATAATAATTTTTATATTGATGTAAGTCTAGTGTAGCTTCTTTGATGAAAAAAAAGAATAGTTTTAGAGTGGTACTTGGTTACAGAATGTTATTATAGGCATAGTAGTTGCTATTTCAGTTTATACAGCTCATTTTATAATTGAGAGGGAGGTTTATAGAGTGTGTGTGTATATATATAATTTATAAATTCATATAATACCTTTGTATATCAAGATTAGGACTTAAGAAACACACCCAGTATCTTACTGTACCTACTTCTTGAAGTCATTTGTGTTCCCAAACTCTAGTATTGGAGAAATACATACAGCCCTGTAGATAAATATTTTTAACAATTTTTTTTTTTTTGAGACAGTTTCATTGTGTAGTCCTAGCTGGCCTGGAACTCCCTATGTAGACCAGGCTGGCCTGGAATTCCTACCTCTGCCTCCCTAGTCCTGGGATTAAAGATACCACACCCAGCAAGGTAAATATTTTTAATGTAGAGTTGTGTAATAAATAAAAACAAATATGTCTCATAGTTGATTAGTGCTTAACAAGTGTGAAATTTTAGGGAATAAAGGGCACTAAATCAGTAACATGTTTTTAGTGATTTATTTATACTTTTATCTTTCAGATGAGTTGTTTTCAATTAAAAAAAAGAGAACTGATTGGGTTTTTGTTTATAGTTATATGTTGTGTGTTTTAAGAACATTTGACTAACACTATATGTTAACAAATACTTTAAATTTAAGTTTTGAAAATTTCTTGCACATGTACAATGTATCTTGAGCATGTCCACTCCTAAATCCCGCATTCCCACTTCCCTAAACCCTCCTCACATCTGCCCCTACCACCTTCATGTCCTGTTATTTTTTATTTATTAATTTTTAAAAATAAGCCACTCCAACTAATGCTGCCTACATGAGTATGGGCCACCTACAAGTGGCCACCCTCCTAAGAAATATGGCTTTTTCAGCTCCAGCAGTCATCAGTTGCCCACAGCTCCTCAGATAGGGGTGGAGTCTCATGAGTCCCTCCCAATCCATGCTGGAGTTATTTACTGGTTTGGTCTTGTGTAGATTTTGTGCAGGTAACCACAGCTGCTCTGAGTTCATGAGTGCAATGGCCATGTCATATACAGAAAACAGCATTTCACAGCGCTCTTTGCCATCCTCCAGCTCTTACATTCTTTCTGCCTCCTCGTCTGCAGTATTTCCTGAGCCTTGTGTGGGTTGATGTAGGCATCTCATTAGGACTGAGCACTCAGTAATCAATTATTCTCAGCACTTTGACCACTTATGAGTCTCTAGAATGTTGCACTTTTTAGTGAATTCAGCTTTTGAATTAAAAATGTAAAGGTTTAAGTTTTAGACTTAACATGTTCTTTTTTATTTAAAAAATATTTCATTTATTATTTTGATTTATTAATCTGTTTTTTATTTTATGTGTATGAGTGTTATACCTGCATGTATGTAAGTGCACCCATGTTGTGCAGTGCCTGTGGTCAAGATGGTGTCAGAGGTTGTTAGCCGCCATGTGGGTGTTGGGATTCAAACCTGGGTCTCCTACAAGAGCAGCCAGTACTCTTAACTGCTGAGCCATCTCTTCAGCCCCTATTGGTGTGTGTGTGTGTGTGTGTGTGTGTGTGTGTGTGTATGAATGTATTGCCTGCATGTGTATGAGTGTACCTGTATTGCGTGATGCTGGTGGCAGTCAGAAGAGGGCATTGGATTCCCCTAGAACTAGAGTTATGGACAGTTGTTAGTGGCCATGTGGGTACTGGGAATTGAACCCAGGTCCTCTGCAAGAGCAGCCAATGCTCTTAACCACTGAGACATCTCTCCAGTCCCTACACTTAACATTTTCAAACCCTAATGTTACTCATATTGAACAGGGAATTTATTTTAGGCTAATACCTAAAGCACCAAAGGAGTGTTGAATTTTAGCGGTGAAATTCCTAGTACGTTGTATTCAGTGTTGCATAATAAATTTATTTCAGACTTTAAAGCAATAAGCAAGCATTATCTCAACAGCTTCCGTGTTAGCTGCTTGTGGCCTCTGGTCTCTTATGTCTGAGGCTGCCAGCAGCCTTTAGGTGGGACTGCTGTCACATCTGAAGGCTTGACTGGTGGAAGACATTCCCCACTTTTTCTTCTGGCTCTTGCAGGATTCAGTTTTGTGGCTTTTGGACTGAGGGCCTTAGTCTTTGATGCCTGCTGGACAGAGGCTTCCGTTACTTCTTTGTTACATGTGTTCTTTCCACGAACAGCTAACAATAGGGTGTTTGTCCTTCTTCAGCTTAGATGATCAAGAGATTGGTGACATCTAAGACTTTGTAACCTTAAAAGTTGTAATCTAAAGGGGCTAGAGAGATGGCTCAGCAGTTAAGAACACTGGTTGTTCTTGCAGAAGACCTGGGTTCGAATTCCAGCACCCACATGGCAGCTAACAATTGTCTGTAACTCCAGTCCCAGGGGATCCAGCAGCCTCTTCTGACCTCCATGGGCATTGCACGACATGGGTGCACTTACCTACATGCAGGCAATACACATACACATAAAAATAATAAATATTATTTTAAAAAAGTTGTAATCTTAAAAGTAGCCTGTTGTTTCTTATTTGTTAGATACCACTTTCCACTTGTTCTTTCTAAAGAGTAAAAAAGAAAAAAAGGACTCAAAGCTAAAATAATTTGACTAAAACTTAAAATCGTCTGTAGTCAGGATCTTTCAGCAGCATACCATTCCCTTAGAAAATGTGAAAGAGAAGTAGAAAAGAAATAAAAATACAGATACCAAGAGCACTTGTAAGAAATACTAAAACATTCAAAGTAATTGTATACAGTGTATGCGCATGCCCATGCGCATGTGTGGAGATCTGAAGATGATGTTGTCTTTCTGTATCACTTTCTGCCTTATATCCTTGAGACCATCTGTCACTGAACCTGGAGCTTGCTTATTTTTGCTAGGCTGGCTGGCCGCGAGCCCCAGCCATTTTCCTGTCTCTGGGGTTACAGGTGCACATGGCATGCCCCAGCTTTTTACATTGGGTGCTGGATATCTGAACTAAGGTTGTCATGTTTGTGCAGAAGGACTCTTACCCACTGGGCTCATCCCACCAACTTCAAAGTAATTTTTTTTTTTTAAATACCAGCACGCAGGAGGCAGAGGCAGGTGGATCTCTGTGAGTCTCTGTGAGTTCGAAGCCATCCTGGTCTACATAGCGAGTTCCAGGTCAGCTGGGGCTACAGGGAGACTCTGTCTCAAAAAGACCAAAAAAAAAAAGGAATAAAAATGTATTTTTAAATTTAATCCCAGCACTCTGCAGAGGCAAGCAGATCTCTGTGAGTTTAAGGTCAGCTGATCTACATAGTGCGTTCTAGGTCAGCTGGAGCTACAGGGAAACCCTGTCT